TATGCTATTATGTACTTGCTATGCTGTCAAAATAATTATTGGCATTATTCGGATATCAATACAGAGTAATTATGGAAAGGAGTACTTTGTTCCGGGAGGGAGTGTAATTTCCTCAATAGCAAATTGCAATTATCTAAAAAGCAAATATCTACTCTATTGAGAACATATGTACGCTGAGTCTTGACCTTAACGACGCATTTTCCTCATATCATAATAAAATATGTATAAAATTGTACACTATTCAAAAAATCAAGTTTCAGAGTTTCATCATATTTAGGTGAAGCTTGTGAACGCAGTGTCATTGCAAACAATTTTAAAACAGCTCATCATTTGCATCTCACTTTAAATATGATTAGCGAAATGCTTTTTTTTGTCAACAGTAAGATTACATAATCGTATTTGACTTGTAATTTACAGTGATTAAGTACTGACTATGACCTATCGACTTATGTTATGTCACTAACCAGAAGGGAAACTGATCTGATAATATTTAAATTGATATGAAAATATTTTCAATAAAACGATATCAACGTATTTGAAACGAATATTAAATTTGTCATTGATTCTTGATTTGGTAGTTTTAGATGTAAAACTGGAGATGTTAAGTTTCTAATACATTTCCAAACATGTATCTAAAATATTACGTCAAATTTGGTAAACTAAAAAACATATCCCTAGCTCAACATATTCACCTGAAAACACAATAACCAAAGTACTGTATTCACTAGACGTCCAGATACGTTCTCCATTGTTATTCAAAGTAACACACACGAATTTGATATCAAATAAGGTGTTGCTTGTCGCAGTTTTGGATTATATCTCTTGAAAATCCCAACAAATAAAGATTCTTTAAGTTATTTGTAATGCATTTGTTTCATTTTTTCCCGTAAGAATGATTACAAAATTTCTCCATTATCCAATTTACGAATGGGTGATTATTCTTCAGCTGGAATCTAGATATATAAAAGAAATCAGGTTTTGGATGGTCCCTCGTATAAGTATTAAACATTTATTGTCATCCATGCGTCATAGAAATTTACAACATAGTATCTGCTTATCAGTCAGTGTTAAAAATGGTATACATTTGTGTTTTCCTTCTTGCAACAAGTCCATTTTAGTTAAAATATAAAATCCGTTAAAATTCTTTCTTTTATACGCTCGTACACTGTTATATGTATTTATTTTATATTAATACATATTTTGCAGAAAAGTTTGTATTTATAGTTTATCACAATAACCATTTATTACATATCTGGTATTTTTCTAATAATCTCTTTATATCAATATCTATATGAAATTATATGAAATGACATTATAGATATATTCATCGGACAAAACTTGTTTTTATCTATCATTTTTCGAGATCTATAATATACAACTCTTTCATACTAACAGCTAGAATACTTACAGTTTAGTAAACAATACATTTGTTGTTTGCTTTGCGATAATTAGTACAAAAGTTGTCTTAATATGAGTTTTTTTTTGTATGGCAAATATGGTCTTTCATGTACCGGCTCAAACAGACCGAGTCTGTAACATTTTCAATTTTGCCGTTTTGGACATTCTTTAGGGATTCTAATTCTCTCTATTGTTCTTAACTCGATACAAACAAAATTTACCGTGAAGCACAGGTTACTGCACGTTAAGTTCAACTTTAGCTCTTATTTTAGAAGATATTACTTTAAACGTTTATTTTGCACCTCCTGATAAGTTGCAAACCAAAAAAAAAAAAAATACATCTAATTCCGAAGTAGGTCTAAACTCTATTCACTTAATTTTTTCTAGACTAGCTTATCTAATCTAATACGTCCTTGAACTACGAATGTTTACATCTTTATATACAATCTTAAATCGGTCAAGCATATAAATATGTGCAATTAACATAATATGATCTGGCATCACTCTGTTCCTAAATGTATGTAAATATGATTTATATGTCAATCTTGTTCAAAATTTCCATATTAATATCGTTATGTTCTCATAGGAATGAAATCAGCATACGACTTAAACCATTATCGTTAAATTGAGTTATACGAACTTTCCTTCTAATTACCCATTTGATATAAGCTTAGTATAAGATGCATTTGTATAAGATCATTTCAAGAAAATTTTAAGGAATCAAATCCACATGTTTTACTTAAGTAATAATAAGTTTTTGTTCATACAAAAGAAAACATTTTTACCATATGATGTTCGAGATATAAATATGTCGATTTTGCAAATTTTCCAGTCTTCAATTGTCAATTAATGCCATGGCATCAGTCTACAATATAAGAAATATAATTGATCAATATCCACAAATTGTGGCAGTTCCAATAAGCTGTGCTGCCCTATTCCTTGATTAAATAGACAATTTGCATATAAACCAAATTCACTTCGATTTTTGGGATATGTATTGTACTTTTCTTTCTTTCCTTTCCAGAGTTTTAAAATGATGGTAATTTTCTTATGTGAATTTCATGAATTTTTACGTTCACAATAATGCATTTAATATTTATACCATAAACTATTAACTAATGTTAATCTTACATATGAAGTACATAGGAGTACATACAGAAGGTAAACAAGGGAGAGGAAACTTAAAGGAAAATAGCCCCCTGATACTAATTCATTTGTTTGAATAATTAAACTGAAATGTTATACAATTGTATGTTCTTTTAACTCCCGACAGATATGCACTTACATCGGCTGTCTTTTGAGAGGATCATATCCAACTTTTCGTGACATTGCGCGATTGTGTCACACTATATGTTCCATGCAGACCTGGGGTAATCATTAATCGTAATCATCGATTTCATGATAACACTGTAATTATCATGTAATTGATTACCTTGCTCAAAATCATCGATTTCATGATAACACTGTAATTATCATGTAATTGATTACCTTGCTCAAAATTGATTACAGTAATTGTAATTAACCAATTACAGCTTAAATTCAGTCTGTAATTATGATTACAATTTGATTGATATTGATTATTTTCAGATTTTTCATGAAACTATTGAAATTCAAATTATTTATTTCACATGTTACAGTTAAACTAATACTCCTTTATAATGATCTTACAAATTGTAGAGTGTAAATTGATTGATTTTGATACAAAATAGCCACTTTTTTATTGAATAGAATGTTGTCAATTGATATCCCTATTTGAAGTAAATAATAGACATTGTCATAACAAACAATGATTGTCCATAAAGGTAGTAAAATATCAAGTGAGATGTTTAAGACATCACTCACAAGGAAGAAATAAGTTTTAATCCATACAGTTAAACAAATTCTAACTGAAAGATAGACATCATTTTTGGCTGGTCTTCTAACCAAAATGTCAAAACATTGGATTTTTGATGTCTTTGAATTTCCGAAAGAGATCTATGGAAATGTCACAGCACAATGCATATTGTGCCCTAAAAAGATTAATGGACACACTAAGTCACGTTCCAATTTCATTACCCACATAAAGGTATGTTAAATTTTTTTTCACATAGTTTGGTTAAACCATGTTTTAAAAAGTTTCAAACAATGTAGATAACTTCTTTACTTTGTATATTCTAGAGTAAAATTGATGTCAGATGCATATTACCATATTTTAATTATATGCAACAGTTATTTTGTAAGGGGATAGACAACTATGTCTATATTATAATGAATACTGTTGTACCATTGAAGTGTTTGTAAAAAATTGATAATTTCTTTGTAAAGCCTATTGTCTCTTTGAATTCCCATACACACATTTCTTGTTTTCACACCTGTTTTAACACCTGTATACAGCATTGTACTACACTGTACTATTGACACTTTTCAAAATTTCTGTTGCAGAGAGTTCATTATGAAACCTACACCAAGAAGACTGAGGACGAGAAAACCAATATGAAACCACCACCCTCTGTTTGCGATTGCCCAACAACACCAGTTGTTGCAAAGTATGCACCTTCTCATCCAAAACAACAGCACATCACAAATGCCCTTGTAAAGTTTGTTGCTGGTGGCTTGCTTCCATTGTCAACTGTTGATAACCACGAGTTTCGTGAACTTTGCAAATCTATGGATCCTAAATATCAAGGCAGATAGACATTGTCTACAAAACGTCTTCATGAAAAATCTTCTGAGGTCAGGAATAATTTGAAACACCAACTTAAATTATCTGAAAGTATTGCACTTTTGGTCTAATAGACAAATGAGAGTCTTCCTAGGGATAACTGGTCATTTTATAATGAATTGGTCATTGAAAACAGTCATGATTGCATGCAAAAGAGCAAAAGGTTCACATACATCTCAAAAGATTAGAGAGGAGTATAAAGACTGCATTGCCAGTTATGACCTCGCAAATAAAATATCATGTATTATTACAGACAATGCTTCCAATATGCAGAAAGCCTTTGACTTTGATTTACCAGGATTTGGAAATGAGCACGTAACAATTGATACTGATACTGATTTTGAAGATGACGAAATGGTTTATGTTGATGAAACAATAAGTGACGATATTGATATATTACCAGAGTTTGAAGTCGTCATTGTGCCAAAGCATCGCAATTTGTTTGCACACATTAAAGACGGTTTCAAAGGAATGAATCAAAACCTGCAAAATGTTATAGCTCAAGCTTCAAGAATTGTCAGCTTTGTAAGAAAATCAGTTGTCGCAAGTGATTTGTTAGAGGGCGAAAAAAGAATAGAAACTGCAAATCAAACCAAATGGAATTCACAGTTGATCATGATTCGTTCTGTTCTGTCCATTGATGAAGAAAAACTAAACAAGGCATGTCCAACAGTAACATTATCATCATATGAAAGGAAACTTCTAGCTCAAGTAACAGAAATTCTGAAGCCATTTGAAGAGGCAACTGACCAAGTACAGAGAGACAAAAGTGTGTCAGCTAGTTTATCAGTGCCAACATTATAGTTTGCCTGCAGCGCAAATTAAATCATGTGGCTGAAATATATAAAGGTATTTCACCAAGGAGCTAAAATCATCACTAGAGAGACGATTCAGTACATATATGGAGGATGATATGTTCCGCATAGCTGCAATACTTGATCCTCGCTTCCGTATGACATGGGCATCAGCATCTGATGTTTCAAGTTTGACTGATATTCTGGTTACAGAAGGACTAAGGTTTCAAGAAATTGGTAAGAATTCTATCTTTATATAAGCTGATATTTATGTAAATCTTAATTCTTTACACTTCTCTAGTTTAGATATGCAATTGCCAAACACTTGTAAATGAAATGTACGTCAATAATATATCCCATGCCATGACAGTATTTTAATTTGGTAGAATGTCTGTTTTCAGATGAAGTACAATCACCTTCTTCCAAGGTTCTCAAACTAGAGGAAGACAGTATTTTCAGTTTTCTAACCCCAACCAAGAGACGGCATAGATCAGGGGCAGATCCAATTTCTCTAGAAGTGAAAGCATATTTAAATGAGGACAATGAGCATTTATCTGTAAATCCTATAGATTATTGGAAGAATAGTGAAAGTGATTACCCCATACTCGCCAAAATGGCAAAACATTACTTAGCCATACTTGCATCATCGGTCCCTGTAGAGCGTTTGTTTAGTGTTGCGGGTAAAATTTTCCGTCCTGATAGATGCAGTCTGACTGACAGACGGTTTCGTGAACTTATGATGCTAAAGTGCAATGCTAAAATATGATAAAGTGATGTGACAGTAACTAAAAGTGTGTTAAATTGATGAATGTTGATGAGCTGGAAATCCTTTGTGTATCTAATGTATATATTAAAAAGCATTTAGAAACTTTTGTTTATAGTTATACATTGAATGTAATCAATTATCAATCCATTACTTTTTTAAAGTAATTTTAATTTAATTGATTACAGAGGCAAGTTTGAGTAATTAATTGTAAACAATTACAATAAAATCTGAAAGTAATTGTAATTAAATCAATTACTGATCAATGTAATCATCCCCAGGTCTGGTTCCATGATAACCACCGTATTACCCATATATGTTTCAAATTCAAAAAGACATCATACATATCAAAATGTTCGATTTTTTTACCTAGAATTAGGGGCGTGGACGGCAGCTTGTTCTTACGTGTAAGATTTATGAAAAGACATAATCAAACCGAGTCTGAAATATTTCTAATTTAAAGTTTTGAAGTTCTTTAATTATTCCGTCGATCTCTATTTAACGTCTCATCAGCGTTGTTTGTACTGTGTTAAATGTCGCCCAGTACAGTCAATCAAAGATTTTAGCCTTGAAGGTTTTTCAGCACGACATAATTGTAGTGTTTATGCTTTTTTTATTTTCTTCTTTTTGACCTTTTGGTATGTAGTTTCCTCATTTTTTTGGTATGTAGTTTCCTTAATTCCTAATTGATCGGTGCGTCCGTGGCCGAGTGGGTAAGGTCGTTGACTTCAAACCACTTGCCCCTAACCGCTGTGGGTTCGAATCCCGACAGGGACTTTGGATTCTTTCATGTGAGGAAGCTATGCAGCAAGCTTACGGAACGTCGGTGGTTCTACTCTGGTGCCCGTTCGTGCCTGAAATAATGCACGGAGGGGCACCTGAGGTCTTCCTCCACCAGTAAAGCTGGGACGTCGCCAAATGACCTATACTGTGTCGGTGTGTCGTAAAACCCAATCAGAACAAAATAATTCCTAATTGAATACTGTATGATTACCTTAAGAGCATGATACCTGCTTTTTACATTTGTCTTTTGACGGCTTGTCTGAAAAAGTCATAACTTATGAAAATTCCTTTGTTTGCGTTGCCAATCGCTTTTTCGTTTAGGGCACACCCTGTTTTACTAGGGAACCACACATCACTATTTATTGAATAGCACGAACCTGTTTCAGTGGAAGTAATATGAAAACCTACGTATTAAATTCCCTTGTGGCTGAGAGGTTGCTTACAATAGTTGGGATATCAGATATGCAGCCATTGTTTATCCCTGCGTGATCGAACAAGGCAACTAAATAGGTTCGCAATACTGGAATCTATGCGTCTCTTAGCTCCAGCAGGTGAGATGGTTTTGTGCCCTTTGTGGGCATATTATTCAATCATTTATTGATTTTCTTTGAATTCCTAATCAGTTACTTATTATTTATCATTTAGTGATTAACATGTCCGTGCTCTGTCTTGTGCCCTGTCCTGTTTTTTTTTGGTCCGCCCGGGCTCCTTGCCACTGGTTCTTGTTGCCGGGTCGTATGGGGTTTGCGTTCATTGAACGCCGCCTTTCCTTGTTGATCTTGTTTATCATATTTGATCCCTGGTGCTGTTTTAAGTTTGAATTTAGATGTTAAATTCTGCTTAAACCAGTACTAGCGATTGTACTTTTCATGCAAAACATATATCTAATATTTCATTTGTTTGCAGATTGAATAGTGATAATAACTTATATGTCAGTATGGAAAAAAATAATCTTTCATAAAAATGAATGGTGTATACATTGTTGATATATATTTAGTTTGCTAGTAATGTTACTACAAAATGTCATTATTATAGCATGTTTACTTCTATTATCGTAGTTCCTTGTACAGCTTATCACATGTTGGTTATCGGTATTATTTCCATCGAAAGATTAACCAAAATAGTTTAGCGACAAAGACATAATTGTAGTCCTTGCCGATTGCCGCAGATTCCTTTCTAAATAAAATAAATTGCCCATTTAAACGAACGCTGATTGCTTGAAAGCATTCACTTGTGCTTGACAAATCAAATTGATTATTATAATAGATACACATTTAGTCCTTTTAATAACCCGAGCAATATTGAACTCTTGTGAACTTTGTTGTAAAGTTTATTGCAGTTTTTTTATCAATACCACTTCCACTTCAAGAGAAACAAAGTAGGATTAACTTTGATGTGCGTTTGTGGAGTAAGAACATTGTCAACTTCAACAAGAGAGTTATTGTATTTGTATTAAGGTAAGGTTTTGAATTACAAAGTGATGTTGCAGGGAATTGCGATGACGCTAAACAAGCAATACGTAATATCATACTTGCCTTTAGGACCTGTCCTGTTTAGTGTCCTGCTTGGCATCTTGCCATTGAGTCTGTGTTGGAAGATGCGTTCATGGAATGCTGCCCCTCAATGTTGATCTTGTTTTTCATGTTCATTGAACGTCGCCTTTTCTTGTTGATATTGTTTATCATATTTTACAATATTTTCAATAGTTTACTCTCACCCACTTTTGAAAAATCTTGATGATATATCATTTAGACATTATAAATCCTAAAATACCCATCATAAGCGTTTTAGTATTGTGCCGCTAATACTGAAGTCGTTTTTTTTTTATCTTATTCATGCGAAATATTCATAGTTCACGTATCAATCTCCCTCTCTCTTTCAATCTCTCTTGAGTACATGTATATACATTGTAACACATTATATACTGGGTCATACATATCCAGGGAAAATATATTACGAATTTGGTTGTTATCCTTTCGCTTTTCACGTGTCTTCCTTATATCATGTATAATATACAGCAAGGAATACTAAAACTGTCAAGAAAAGAGATGTTGCCAACATTGAGAACATAAAGCAGACATCGTAGACATAAGTATGTTATTCATTATATAGGAATTGCCGAAGCGTTTGGAACTTTGGTAGATAATTCAAATGTCAGATTCGTGGATGTCTTGTATTTGAATGTGTCAGAGTGTCAAAACTAATTCGATTTGTAACTTCGGGAATCAATGTGCTCGGATATTGTTTGGACAATAAATGGTATTGTATCAAGAAACATTAAAGAGTGGATTTATCTTACGGCATCAACAGTAGGATTTGATTGTGAAATACTAATTAAAGATATGATATGCAATTTTCAAAGCTATACTACACTTGCATTTAGACTGTAATTCTATGATACATGAATCACCAGATTTCCCTACAAAACATTTCCTTACAAATGAATTTACAGACTAATATCTTGAATACTTGAAAATGTGAAAATATTTAAATTGTTGGGTTTCGTCAATTATGGAGGATGTTTAAGAGGAAAACCAAAATGTTTGGTCGTGGAAAGCATGAAGTAAGATTTTAGGAAATTACCACGCTCTTAAATTGTACCTGAGCACCCTAAAGCCCGTATGTTGTTTGGTTTTACGGTGAAGAATTTATTTCTCGGGTAATAATCACAGCAAGGATATTTTTCTCTCTCGTAAAGAAAATTGGGAGGCGACATCTCGCGACTGGGGGTGGAGGGGATTGGCTGGCAACACCCGATTTTTCAAATACTACTTTGTTTTCATTTAAGCAATAGTTGTTCTGGAAATAACACTCATTGCAGGACAATTTTGAAATATGTCACTTGCATGGGATGTCTGGACAACATGCCTATCTTGGTAATCAAGTATTAAGCTTTTCGAGTTCGAGAATTAGGAGCATTCGCACATAAAGAGTTGGTTTATTACCATAAACGGTCAAAATGATAAAAGTTTAATAATCCTTCTTTAGAAGAATATGTCTTTACGTCTCTCATTTTTAAGTGAATTAATCACACAGCAAAAATGGATCGCTTTAAAGAAAATTATTATCACCTTATATATTCTGATACAAAACCAGTCTGTCAATTACTGTTTTTGACCTTTTCGTACGCATATTAAGCACAAAATAAGGAAGGATAAAGCAAAAAGATAACCATAAGCATAATATATAATAAAAACGCCAGTCATAGTTTACATACTGAGGTAGTACATGACAAACAAGATGAAGATCTGCATACTTTACAACATAAATATTCTTCTTAACACACTGACACACTCTAACATAAGACGCCGCCGAATCTGCAATTTTAATTATCTGTTAGATTCACATACACTTTGGCAGTCCTTAGACTATGGCTTGCATATTGTATCTTGATAAGACCTGTTTTATGTTCAACAAGATGACAACATCTGTTTCTTTGGCATTTTTACTATGCCGTCTTGTTCATTATAAATGATTTACGTAAGGCACATGATACACCATAGACAAAAAAATCGGATATGAAATGTATTTTCACCCAATTACATTTTTCTGACACTAAATATACCTTGTGTTTCTGTACATATTCAAACATTTAACAGTTATTCTATTGAACAAAGTAATACAATTATAAAAGCAAGGGTCATTTAATTTCTTAATATTTTTGTACTAGTTAAGAGTAAAAATATAATTATATCGACACATTTCATCATTTAAAGTGCTTTTTTTATGATATTTTTATAGTCATTCATTTCATTCGAACTTGAAAGCATTGCAGAATTACAAAACTATTTTTCATTCATTTGAAACAAAACAGCTTGTACAAAAAGACATTCAAAAGATTTTCATTGCATTAAAATAACGATTGTTAGGCAGGTGGTCTAACACTTACTGCCCTAATACAAAGGCAATTTTAAAGGAAAGATTCTAGTTTCTCGAGGCAAAATAAATTTAGATAGAAAGTTTAGATTGGCGATAATGACAAAATGTTAAAAATAGTGCAATGCATGAATGAATGTCTTGTTAAAAGATAAAATCTGTTCAAGTCGAAAAAGAAGATGAAACGAATTAAACCGTTTAGAGGAATTTTACATGATACGATTTTCTTGTAAATACTCTAATTTGAAATGCACTGGAAGTGCTATTATAGTGTATGAAACGAGTTTGTCTACGAGTAAGTGTAAAATGTAAAATATCTGCGTAAAAGTACACCATTATCTGTTATACAACAGTTTGAGAAAAATTACAAGTGAACATGTTGCCTTTGTTTTAATTTCATCAGTTTTATCATCTACATTTCTCTTTCCAAAATAATGTAACATGTAGAACATTAAAAGTCGATGACCATCACCCATTTGACTATGAGTTTTCATTGTGCATTTATTAATTGTTAACAAAAGGTTATCGCGTGCATTTATTTTGAAGTTT